TAACAGCCTGGTGTTATCAGCCACCAGTTACCATGTTCAGTATTTTAGTACACTGAGGCTGGAGGGTGAAACAAAGCTGTTACCCTCTCAACTAGGTACCCAATCTCACTTGTTGACTGCTGTTGTCAGACATAGGACAGAAATGTGAAGAAAAATAACTTTGCTTCTGCTGGTTAAAAGGTTGAAATATTTAAGGAATGGTGGAAAAACATTTCTTTGAAGACCTTGATAAACTCTTGGGATTCAACTCTGTGGTATAAGTGCCTGCCTGCTAAGCGTAAGGTCAAGATCTTGAGTTTGAGTCCCTGGTTTAAAAAAAAAAAAAAGGAAAAAGACCTAGATACAGTGTTATAAGGAAAAAATCTCAAAACAAGACAAATTTGCAGAACGAGAAAGATTCCATGTAACCACAAATAAAAGCAATTTTAAGACATAAAGAACAGTAATTACATAATTAGAATATCCTGCACGCTACAGGGGAAAATGCTATAGTTTGTATAGTTATAGCTTCACATTAATCGAAAAACAAGGTTGAGCCAGTGCTGTGTTTCTGGTGCATGACCCACGAATCTGATTGTGCGATGCCAACCCGGCTGAGGTCAGAGGTACACTGTACTGTAGCTACATTTCTAACCACGCTGGCTTCGGATTTTTGGTCCAAAGTCTGGTTTCATGTATCTTGGTGAATCATCTAAAGCACTGGTTTGCTCTAATTAATCATCAGGTAAACATTTCCAACCTAAAAACTGATGTGTTTGCTACAAACTCCTATGTTTGTTTCAAGTTCTTTTGTCATTCTGTTTAGAAAAAGACCCACCTCTGTTTTTGTCTCCTGGATTTCAAAGCAGACCTGTGCTGCTTTCAACTGCGTCTCAGAGGGTGATGTGTACCATTCCATCCAGTGCCATGCATGGTGGGCTCACCGTCACTCAAGCACCAGACACTGACCTGGTCTTGAGTGTCCGCCTGTGTGCACATACCTGCGTGTATATATGCACACCCGTGCGTGTATGCGCATGGGTGTTACCAACTTTAATTTTCAGGACATAATAGGGAAGCACTGGTGCCATTAGGGACAGCAAGTGCTCATTCAGTTATCCAGTGAGCATCCATCAAACACTCACCTGTTCCAGACTTTGGGTAGGGAATGATGTCAAACAGAAGGATCGGAGGCCAAGCAGTGGAAGGTCTCATGGGGCTGAGAGCTTGGTTTTAAAAATACTATGCTGAGTGCGGTGGCTTGAGAAGTGCATCATATATATATATATATATATATATATATATATATATATAGATAGAGAGAGACTGGATTTAAAATTACATATCATGTTTTAAAAAATCAGTGGGGACATTCGCTGGGGAACACAGGTGATACAAAATGGAAATTAGAAGACTACAGCTCAAACTGTAGCACATCTGTAAAGACAGCTTGTTGTTACATTAATTCCAGACTTTGTAATGAGCTACAGTTCCACAGAAATGATCACATTTTTGCTAAATTACAAAAAATAAAAAATAAAAAACAAACAAACTTTAAAACCCATCAGGACAGGATCTCTTCACCAACTTTTCTTTACAAAAAGGAACAGTCAGAAAGAGCGAGTGCCCGAGGTTTGGAAATTTTGAACTAAAGATAAGGCTGAAAGGGAAAGATAAGAGTTCTTTCCTCCACTGGGAAAAAGTGTATTTCAGAAGTGAATGTGTGGAATGATTTGTGCCTCAACAGCTGACATGAAGCTTCATTTTGCTTAATATTTTATTAGTCTTTTAGAAGTCCCTGCAAAACTAGTATTGGGGCATCTTGCATGTTTCAAACTTGGAGCACAGAACACAGTCTAGTGTGCCGAAATATGTCCTGTTTGCCACAAAAATGCCACTGGAGCATGTAATTATCCTATTTCTATATCTAAAAGCTTAATTTGTAGAGATAATGGTTCCAAATTTGTTGTTTTAAGATGATGGTTTATAGCCTTTGCTACATCTTACTAAAATTATTATAGGAGCAAATTATGATAAATTTCTCATATTTCCCTGATCTCGGTCCTTATTTAATAAGATTAAATAAGAAAAAAGCTGTGAAAATAATTGCAATTTCACAAAGTGATTGGGAAACAAACAGAACCTCAGAGTTGTAATTAATATTTATGACTCACAGAGCAGACAGAAATGAAATAATTTCAGGAGGAAAGGTGTGTGCTAATATTGAGTGATTAAATGAAGAGGGATTTGGAGTCTCTGCACAGGAGTTTTTAAAAGTATCTACACCATGTGCTATGTCTATCCTTGGTATTGACTGACAGCTTTGTTTTGCCATATTTGACTGTATTCTTCCCCCCCCCCCAAAGAAAGTAATAAGCACTAAGGAGTAATAAAATCCAAGATGTGTAAATTTTGTTGTAAAAAAGAGAGGGAAAAAAAAAAAGAAAAAGTGCTCTAATGGATATAACAGCAAGTGTCTTTGGGGGTGTTAAATAGCTGACTTTATCAATGTTTTTGGAACATTGAACACAGCTGTTTGCAGTCTCCCTGTTTGAATGTCCACCTTGTGTTCTTTGATACTGTGATTTGAGGAACTATTTTCAAGAAGATAGTGTGTAATCTACTAGCAGGTAATTTCTTACTGTTATGTTTTTTTGTTTTGTTTTGTTTTGTAGTTCTGTATTGCGTGTACCCTTACGCCACTTTGGTTTGTTTTGTGTTTTGCTCTTTTTCCTCTTAAATAAAAAAAAAAAAAAAAAAAAAAAAAAAAAAAAGTATCATCAACAGATCTTAACTCATGTATTTAAAAACATGTGTTCAACATTGCAGTGTCTAGACCAATGCAACATTTTTCTCCAAATAATAAAACTTTGATTAAGTTTCTTTGTGAGCAAGATGACTTCTATCTTCGACCCATTCAGAACAGCCCCCACCCCACCCCAGCACACAGGGCAAAAAGAGACTGGATATGTGTCCACTTCCACAAGCAATATGACTTTCTTACTGGGTACTTTGAAACACATTTGTGTGTAGTAGTCATCTTTAAAACCAAAGCAGTGCTTTTACATTGACATTTTGGTGTATTTATAACGGTGTAGATATCCTTGGATTGGAAACTGCTTGTTATTATTAGATGCTTCCTCTGTGACTTTTCCATATACCTTAAGTCAGTACATGAATGAAAGTGCTGTCATTGTCTTGAAGCGTGCCAATTTGTTACTTCCAGAGCCCTGGAGGAAAGAGTGAAGCCCAGAGAGGCCAGTCAACTGTCTGAGGTGAGACAATAGAACATCAGGTGCTAGCATCCTACCAAACTCCTGTTGAAATTTAATGATAACTTTTCTTTATTAAAGATCAGGAAATTGAGCAATCCAGACTGACCTCCTTAGACATTCTTTTATCTCTTCAACAGCCTTAGGTTCTTTTACTAACAGACGAGTTCACGTGCGATAAGCCTAAGTGATGAGGACACTGACACTACAGGTGCTGAAGTGGGCTGTGCAGTAGCCAGCAGCTTTCCTGTCTCAGGGCTGTAATTCCCAGCAGCCATGACTTCAGGAGGAGATTTAATTCAGTTTCAGTTTCAGAGGGTTCACTCTAGGATTGGCTGTTCCAAGGCAGAAACGGCCTGGTAGGAGGACCCAGGGGAAAACAGATGCCCACCTGTTGGCAGGCAAAAGCCAGAGAGAAAGGAGGATGCAGGGTAAGAATCCAGGCTTCCAGCTCACACTCCACTGACTGACCTCTTCTGACCTCACTGTGCTGCCTAATAGCAATGTAGCTCTGAATTCATCTGCATGTTAATCTCCAGATTGTAACACACCCATGTGGCCACTTCTCCTTCCAAAAGGCCCGCCTTGAAGCACATAGGACTTTGGCAAGGGGACATTTTATTTCTAAACCATAACAATACCCATTTGAGTGTTTCAGAGCTGCACACCAGTTAAAGACTGAAAGCCTGGGTGATCTGCCCTCATGTACAGCAATGGTTTGCTCAGTGACAGAGTTCTTCTTTAACAGTGGTCCCAAAACATTTAGAGCTGCATCTACTATGTATAAGGTGCATTTTAAATCTGTTTAGATATGTTGAGAGGTGCAAATACTTACTCATTTCTGTGTTCCATTTACCTATGGTGCTCAGTGATCCACCTCCTGTACAGACCTGGCACCTAGGGTCCATGGCCTGCACTAGGGAGCCCGAAAGTGTTCATGGCAGGCAGTACCAGGCAGGCTTTCATGTGCACACTGCGGTATTCACACAGAAGCGAGGCTGTCTAATGAGTAATTTCTTAGATTGCTCCTGCCCTTATGTGGCGAATTACTGTCTCTATTAAAGTGAGATTCATTCAAAAATTCCCTCAACAGTGAGACGTCTACTTTTGCCTAAAATCATAGGCAGAGTTGCATAAACTTTTCACAGAAAGGCAAAGGAAAAACAGTATAAGAACAAACTAACAAAAATGAAAAAAATACATTCATTTTCTTCTGCTATAAGATGGCTTGTTGGTCCTGTTGTCATACCAGAATACACTCTTGTCATTTGCTTTGCTTATTTTAATGCTGTTTAAACTCCTGAATTAACTCATTCTACCAATATCTTAGCACAGTCCACATGGCAGCTACTTCTCAGCGCTTGCATGTGACTTCTGAGACTAAGGCCATGCTAAATAACTTGATACGATTATTCCACCACGTATGTTTATATTAAAACATCCCATTGTAACACTTAAATACATGTACCAATTATCTGTCAATTATGAATAAAAACTAAATTAAAAACAGACAAATTTCCTACCATCACGTCAACTCTACTTTAAAAAAAAAAAAAAAAAAAAAAACTAAATTAAAGTGTATATATGTTTCTGGAACACTGTCAAAGAGATGGAAGAAATTTCTAGGAAGAAATTTCAAACCCCTATACTTAGAATTATTTTAATGCTAAGGATTTCTTTCTGAATTAGCTTCTGGAGAAAATTGCACATTGAGGTTTTGAGAACAAACATTCACTGAACAAAATAGGCCATCTTTCCACACATTTTATTCTTTAGTACTTGTCCATTAATTACATAATGCAATCCAGATGGATACACAGTTTGGGGAGATTTAATTAAGACTGTACACACGAGTAGGAAAATGTCCCCCAAATAAACAAGTTTGTGTTTTCCATACTCTTAAATCCAGCCAGTTTGACCTATTCTACGATGTCAACAATCATTCTGATCTCTGCTGTAGTTAGTGCTAATTACTGTACCTGAGCTATAAAAATAAAAGTTTCCAGTATAGCAAAGTTCACAAATATTGTTTGAGTCCAGCAATCTCTATTGTCCATCTAAAGCAGTAAATGTCTCCTCCAACTATGTATAACCATTTCTAAAGTTGAAGCTGAGAATGTTTTACAAAAAAGATTTGTCACTGAAAGAGCATTATATTGTTAAATATCTGCTTAATCAAAGGAAAAAAATTGGAAACCTAGTATTTTTAGTAGCCAGATATTTGAGATTACAAAGGAACCCACATCCAGGCGAGCGGCTAAAAATTTTCATTTTTCTTTTGAGCATGTTTGCACTGGATAGACAGCATTCACTCGGGTTTTACACATTTTAGGGACTGAGTCGATATACACAGTTAATGTGCACACAAAAAGACAAGATTCAAACTAAACTTCTAACATAGAAATAAACATGTAGTGTTTGTTCATCATTGAATAATACCCAGAAGAAATTATATTTCTTTTACTTCTTATGTTACCTATATTTTTAAAAAATTACTGTGTTGAAAGAACAGTTTTATATTCTCAAGAAGAATTCATAGTTTGCAGGGTGTATGGTCCTGTAAGGTGTATTCATTACACGTACATAATAGAGTTATACTACCTGTCATCAACAGTTTGGCTGATAATTTTCATATGTTTCATAAGTGAATAGTTGGGGTATAAGTGTTAATTTCTCAAAAACAACATTTACTTATATACCTAGTTGTTAAAAGAAATAATAAGAAATGGTACCTGTCTTGAAATAAATACCATGCTTGTAAAAAAAAAAAAAAAACTTTTAAACACTTCAGGTCCTATTTTAAAATGAAGTATTGAGGGGGAAATGAATTTATTTAAATACAGATGTAGATTATACCACAGAAGAATGCTGTATTAGAGTCTGCCAAAAATATTTACAAGGTTCAAGGAAAAGAAAAACACGAGGGTGTTTATTCAGCAGTGTTACCGTCACATGGAAGGCCTGGAGGGCTTTGCTCACTGCAGAAAACCCACCACACTGCGGCCCTTACAGAAGAAATTGGAAGTGCGCGTGCGGCAATCTCAGCAGCCAAGGTCACTCCTACTAATACCTGGCTGGAAGCTGAGGCCAGCACCAAGAGCACTGCCTGTCACTTTAGAGGACAAAGGTAACTTGTGTTCATCTCCTGGTGTCTCAATAGATTTAGTATCAAAATAGTTGAACAAACTTTTCTTTTCCTGAAGTGTGTACACATTTTTTTTGTGCACTCTGTATTAAAAGGAACTCACAGAATATGTCTTTAAATATGAAAAAAAAAAATGTGTGCAATTTCTGGTTTCTCTGTGGCAGGGGGGATTATGCATTACACATACCAGAGTATGTGCTGGGCAATCCTTATATTTATATATCATAAATGGGAAAAATAAATTATGCTGATTGAGAGCCCATTTGATTATGCCAGAAACTGAGAAAAGTGAGTTAATTATATGATCATGTTCTGTGTGGGATAGGAAATCATTAGACCTACACAAAAAGTAACTGCAAACCAAAGTTCTTAAAATTGCCTAATACTAAGCCACCCTCTCAGTTTCAGTGCTGTCTCATGACAATATGAAATGCCTCCAGTCACACTGCCTTGCAGAGAGATGGAGATAAACTGCCCTCAAGAACCACGTTGGCCAAGAGGAAAGTGAGGGCCAGGCCAACAGCGGGAAAGTAAAACTAAATTAAACCCAAATTGTCTGCTTCTCTTTTGTGAATCTCTGGATTGTTCAGGGCTTCTAGGAAGAGGGAGAAAAACAGGAATTCAGAGCCTGGAAACATTCCATCTCGTACCGTTTTATGTCCTTTAGAACTGGGGAATTCTCAGCAGAAAATTCAAATTGAACCTTTTTTTTTTTTTATCGTAATTACCTGTATTTCATCTGAAATCTATGAGGGTTTGCTATTAAAACATCTTTTTCTCTGGAATAGACTGTTATATAAAATACACTAATAGAGGATTTTGAACTAAGTCAGTGGAATTGCTATGCAAATACAACACAATACTCCTTTTACTGCTAACAAAATTTTCTAATTCTCCAGGCATTAGGCTGAGTTACATATTTCACTGGGATCAAATGTATGCCATCCTAACTCAGAATTTAACATATTGAGTACAGATTTCATTTGCTTATTTTTATTTACTCACTTCTAGATGACACTGGTACAAATGAGTTTTGTTAACTACCAGGTTCATTTAGCAAAATCAATTTATGTATGGTCAGTTTGCAAATTTGTAATTTCAAATCTTTTTCTATTCTATTACACAATTCTGTACCAAGACTAATGTTCAGCATTTCAAACAACTCAATTCCCAAATTAAAGTAATTATAGTAAAGTACATAAAAGATGTGACCACAGGATGCAGCAGAGAAAAATTCAGCTGTGTCATAACTTGATCATTTATCCAGGTAGTTTGTCTGCATCACCCCAAATATTTTTAATGATTTTCATTAGCTGCTTAAATACTTACCAGAGTTGCACTGTCATAACTTAGTAAATTATTGTTAAACATAAGAAAAATGTTGAACACAACATTAAGAAAAGAATATAGCAAGGTAGGCAGAATTTTACATTTGAAATATGGTAGTCCTAATTTGCATATGGCACCAAACCTTAAGGATGTGGTTACAAATTAGATTTTAAGAATACTGAAGACCGGAAGCATTTTTCCTTCAGCTGATCTAAATAACTAGGTCATAGAAATACTAGCATCCAAATGAACAAGAAGAAGAAAGTGTTACAATGCATTTTAGTCCAAAATAAAGCAACTTATATTTAGCAATTTAGTGATGATGGTAAAATATTTCTGACTGCATAAATCCATTTCATGGAGGTTATTGCTTAAGGATCATAATTGGTCTGGGATCTTTTGGAAAGTTTCTGGACTACTTCAAAAGTTAAGTAAAGTTGTGAAAAAATTGCATGCTTTAGAAACAGTATTTCCCTCAAGCCTGTAGTCTAAAAAGAATATGAAGATGACAGCAAAGGGACGTTTGCAAAGCAGTTTTGTGGTGTTTACAGTATTTTTTCTTCTCTGGGAGCTGTGCCTTCGAAGCTGGTTAACTGTTTTTCTGGGACTTTCTTCATCTCACATTCAGAACAAGGAGGCATTTGCAATTTCTGCCAAGCAATATAGAAAAGATAGTCAGAAACCAAATGAAACACAGTGTAAGGTAAAAATGCAAATCCTAACAGCAGAAAAATTAAAATTCACATATCTCAGTGTGTACCTTATAGAAAACTAATGACACCCAGGGGAATAGGTAAAGTTATTAAATCCTCCACTGAGTGACAATTTATAGATATGTTTAGTCTAAAAATGGCAAATTTGAAAACGATTTTGAGAAAACTGCAAGGAAACTACTCTTTTCTGATGAATGTCGGATAGAAACCTAGTTTTAAATATTAAAACAATTTTATTAATTTGTTTTAACAAATATGTTAGCTGTTTTTGATGGCAATACTTTCAAAGCATTATCCTGCTGTACTGATCAAATAGTTTATGTGAAAATTCAGAACTAGGCTCTCGACTTGTGTTTTTTGCTATTTTGGAAAACACATCCTTTTTCCCCTTCCTCTACCACTTCAAATCTTCTCTAATCTCTTCTATGTAATGAGTTTTATTTGTCTGTTTAGTTCAATTTTGCATTTTGGATTAGGATGGGTACAGGAACAGGAATGCCTCACACAGTGAACCAAATGCATTATTGGCAGACTCAGGGGTACTGCAGTACAGAAGATCAGAGGCCCAGGGTGAACGGACCATCCTGGACCAGCCAATACAACATTCTGCTCCAGAAAGAGCAACACAGAAAAGCTTCATTCAAGGGACCCAAGCAATATTTTAATGTTATAAAAATAAAACAGATGAAAAGTTACCTGTGGGACTGGCTTTGATTCTGCAGTGGCATTTCTTGCAGAATTTTCTTTGTTTTCCATTGAACAGGTCTTTCCCTCCTACAAAAGAAGCAATTAAAACAGATCTGTGACTTTAAACAAAGAAAACCAATTTAAAAAAACAAACAAACAAACAAAAAAACTATTTTCAGTTCTTTCTATAAAGAAGAAGTACAAGTCTTCCCAATATCCCCCCTGGGCAAGCCTGAATGTTGGGGATCAGATTTGGAGTCTCAGAAGCACTTGTGCTGATTCCACTGAAGAGCAAAGTTGTTTCTGCTTATACCTCTTTGGTAACCATGGCAAGGCTGGTGGACATGCAGAACACTGACAGATGACCAGAGTAGGAAAAGCCCGCAGAACAAGTTCAGTGTCAAGCCGTGTTGTCTACCCTCAACTTAGTAGTTACTAACAGACAGTTATTAGAGTCCTGCAATAGCACATTCACTTTTCTAAGTTTACAAGTCAACATCTTCTCTGTGCTGGACGTTAAGAGATTTATGAACAGGACTGTGGTGATGATTCCATACAAAGATTGCTCAAACACGCCCTCTTTAATTCCCACTTCCTCCACTGAACTTAGGAATGTGTGGCTGTTATAGAGGCATTCATTAGTCTTTCTCTTCTGGCCATCATAGGATGTGGCAAAGTAGCAACACATTCTCCCCTTCAGTTGCCTGACAAGTTAGCTATGGCAACATCTACAAGAAGACAGATTTTTAATTTCAAATATTTGATGTTCAACCTTCAGAGTTTTTTTCCATAGGTCCATTACTAAATTAAATTTTACAGCTGTAAGAACAATGACATGAAATAATTGACTGATAACCTTTCTTTATGTGAAAGTTATATACCGCTTACCATCTGAGTGTGATTAGTTTCCAATCACAAGCAAGACATCTTAGAATTTTATCACTTCTGTGATTACACAACTCCTCAACCCTAGACAGAGTAAAGCTTGAGAGTACTCTATTTCTATGCATACAGCCAAACAGAAGAAGGAGGAGGAGGAAGAAGAGGAGGAAGAGGAGGAGAAGGAGGAGGAGGAGGAGGAGGAGAAGAAGGAGGAGAAGGAAAAGGCTATCTGCTGTTATCATCACCATCTGTAGATTCAGTGTCCCAAAAGTCAGTGGACTTGAATATTGGGTTACCTCAGCCTTCAAAAACAAAACTTCCAAATTATGGCAGCAGACAGTCCTTTGAGTATGTGTGTAAGGGAATAAACTAAATTCCACAAAAGCCATTTGGTGTAGTCTCTCTCTCAGAGACCAGAGGGCTTATATCTTTATGTCCTTCCTGGATTATAAAATAAAGCTCACTCTCGCAGTCTAGAAATGTCTCTAAAACAGATTTGACTTTATAAATTCATCCTACAAAATCCAGTGAAATAGAGACAAATGGTAAAATATGATCCATATAAGATCATTCCATGGTCTATAGAAGGGTAAGTCAATGAAAACAGCACGCAGGAGCCCTCATCAGTTACTCTGTTGCTCAACATCCCGAGCTGTATTGGATGTAACAGCCACCCCCTTGTGGTTCTTCTCCATTCTTGGCCAGAAAGTTTGCAACTGCGCAGCCACTCACGTTTATTTACTTCCTAGGGAGTCGTAGCACCTTAGCCATATTGTGAACACCCAAATGTCATGGAGTAAGCAGTTTGAATTATAAATCCTTGAGGATCACAAATCTATAATACAAAAAAGTATTATGTGATTTTTCTGTTTTCTCAACTCTCCTGCAGTGTCTTTGTAAAGAAAACATTATTGCACAATGAGAAGCTTAGCAAAAACTTGTGTACCCTATAAACATCCTTCTGATCAGGTATAATTTCAATGAAGAATGGAATTCCCAGTCAAGAAAGAGGAGAAAAAAAGTCAATAGGAAAGATTGGACAGCACCCACATTGGAAGCCATTATGAACGGGCTTCCCCAGCAGATCTGATTTGAACCAATAGGTATTTGCAAACCTGGGAAGTTTTTACCACAGAGTTTTCATTGCTGAGAGATGGAAGAAGGGAGGAAATTCTAGCCCATTTTGTCAAATAAGTGAGACGTGACCTAAGGGCAGGACTTTCAAACTCACCTTGATGAACCATTATCAAAGCTCATTAGAAAAAAAAAAAAAAAAAAAAAAAAAAAAAACAAAACAGAAATAAGAATAAATTGTTGTCCTGTGGTCCCTAAAACGCCCCTAACAATCAGCGAGCTTTTATCACTCACAGGCTTTCTTTACCGCATTCCTCCAAAGGACTTGAGGTAGATATTGATGTTAAATTTCTATTAACTGTTCAAGGTACAATTGGAAATAGAATTCTGTCTCTTAGAAAGACACAAAAAGTGCTCCTTCATGTAACTAAACACATTAAAATTATGTTTAAATCCATGAGATCAGACATTTATGTTAATAAAATGACCAGATTTTTAAGTTTAATATGATTAGTTATGTGGGTATGGATAAAGTAGTCAAATTTTCTCAATCTCATTTTGTAAAATGAGAAATAGTTTTAGAATTATTAAATAGTAAAGTAAGTTACAGCACTTCCCTCAGGGTCTCTCAGGGTAGAGAGGTTTCAATGTGCTGTGCGTTGCAGAAGCAATGACAATGATGAACATAATGGGGAGCATGAGAGGTGATGGCTGCAGCAGGTGGAGGTCATAGGTCTCTCAGCCCTTAGTAAAGATGCAGGAGCTGCAGCTCTATGAACAGCTGCAGTGCATGGCCAAAATCAGGGATTATTACAAAACCTTTGGCTTCAAATAACACATACTTTTGTATTACATGCCTAACAAACAATTCACTGATTCAATTATGTCTTATACAGGCTTACAATATTTTGCTTCTTTACTGTGCATCTCTCCTTCCCAAAGAAAACTCAAATTAAAAGCATGGCTAGTTGGTTAGGCTTGTGGTTTTAAATGTTAACAAATACAATGGCAAAATCTAGAAATACTATTCTGTCTTCTGCACAATCAGAAACAAAGTTAATCAAATCTAATAAACAGAAGTGGTAGGGAATTAAGGCTATTATCACCTTGCTGGGGTGTCATGGTTTAAGTCTGTGGCCCCCGACCTCATGAGTTTGCATTGTGTATTCGTGATGGTTCATTGTCTAGTGCTTGGATTGATGGTGTCAGTGCTCCATCCACATAGAGGTGGAACCGGGATGTGATATAATGGGAGGAAGAAGGTATGTCTTGCTCTTTGCTGGTTCCTGTTTGCTGTTTTGGTGGCTGCCATGAAATGTGGCCCAGCCATGCCTGCGTACCTTGGAGCCAACTGAGTGTGGACTGAAACCTCCAAAAACTGTAAGAAATAAACCTTTCCTTTCCCAGCTTTGCACTTCAGGTATTTTGTCTCAGCAACGAGTAAAAAGTAACTAAGACACTGCTTGTGGTGCTCCATGTCTACAATCCCTCTGTGGGAGAGACTGAGGCACAAGGATTAATAGCTGGCAGCCAGCCTGGATCATGAAACAAGACCCTGTCTCACAAAAGAAGAACGAGCTACTATCACATATCTAAAGGACTGTCCTGAAAGAAGAAAGACACAATCTGTTCTCTGAAGGATATCCCTAAGATGAGAGGGAAGTTAGAGTGGGAACAAAGGAAATAATCCCAGAGCATGTGTCTCTAGTAAAATTCTGATATCATGCAAAAATGGCAAATCTTCTTATCCTGCAGGAAATGTGTGAATTCAGTGGTCTTCCAGGCTCCTGATAGAGTCCATAAAATTTTATGGAATAGAATAAATATTTACTCCTCAAGTTTCAAATGTTGTGTCTATTTTTCTGGCCTTGATGATAAAGCTTTACTTTCAAATAAACTAGAGGAGGAAGTATTTCATTCTTTTAATCACTGAAGCAACTTCCACACTCTTTCTGTATCTTAAGAGAGTATATACTGACAATGAAGTGAAGAAAGGTATAACAAAATTGAACAGAAATATTTATTTAAAAACTGTAAAATAAAGTTCTTATTACCATATTTTACCCATTTAAATGTTAACAGAAATCTTGTGGATTTATAATATCAATGATAATTTAATAATGAAACTAATTTAGATATTTTGAGGAAATAGATGTATGACGTGTTCATTTTTCCTCATTGAAATCAAGAGAAGTGAAATGAGGAACAATATTCAGTGTGTGGAATGAAAATGTAGCTTTTGGTAGAAAGAACACGTACCCACCAAACAGGGAGACCTGGGAGACAGACCGCATATCCCTCATTAATAAAATATGCAACATGTTGGTTTACTAAATCTCACACATTTAGAAGAAGAGCTTCTGAAAGGTAACGCATCCCGTGGGCATTCTGCTGACCAATGGACTGATCCTTTGATGTGTTCACGGTGAGAGGTGCTACTTGGAGGTGGGGCTGGTTTGGAAGAGGTTTGTCACTGGTGCATACTGGGGATGGAATATCTCCTTTCTCAGCTCCTCTCTTCTCTGTCAGCACATTGCCTGCCATGCACTGAGAACCTTTCCTTAGCCAGGCCCTTCCACCATGGCATTAATTTGTGTAGAAAGACAATCGGGGACTGAACTAAAGCCATGTGTCAAAATCTCTCTCTTTCTTTAATTTGAGATTGTTTTATTTTACCCAAACACCAGAGTAGTTGACTATAGGTGAGAATGATGTTTACCATCCAGGATAATTGATACTGCACTGAAATACTATGCATAAAGTTGCTAGATAGTGCAAAGTACTGGTTCTGTAATCAGAGCACTTGATATCAATTTCCCTTCACTTATGTTTTGATAAACCTGTAAGCTGTCATTCACCTCTTTGGGACCTAGGTATCAAACTCATCATATATCTAATGTACAAAAGAACAAGAATTGTAGAATTTTTATGAGGAATAAAAGAAAACAAGGAACAGGAAGGAGAGAGAGAGAGAGAGAGAGAGAGAGAGAGAGAGAGAGAGAGAGAGAGAGAGAGAGATCATATGCATTGTTACTACCGTGCAGCATCTCTGGTATTATTTATCTAACAAGCAGGAGAAGTGTTTGTTGCTATATAGTAATTTGTGAGGTCCCACTTTGGAAACACATATT